CAGCAGCCCTACTGAACGCGGCTTCATCCTTCAGGGACTTAGAACTTTCCCCCAAAAGAAGTAATCATCTGGGCTGGGGATTTTGCTCAGTGGTTCTGCTGCCTGCCTTGCAACTGCAAGGACCCGAGTTTGATCCCTGGTACCAATAATAATAATAATAATAATAATAATAATATATTATTCCCCCCTGTCCATTTCTGAGTTTTGGCAAGTGACCCTCCCTAGTAACTTGAGAGACTGGGGCAGGAGAGCCCTGGAAGAGTCCAGACAGAAGCGGCCAAAAGCCTAAGGTAGGGGTGGTGGGTGTCCTGCTTGCCTGCCTCAGTTTCCCTACTAGTAGAGAGGGAGGAGTTCTGCCCTGGCGTCAGCTAACCTTATAAAAGGTGGAACACTTGAGTCTGATTTCTGGGCAGTCACCAGAGACTTCTCTGGACCATGGTGTCCATCTTGTCTACCTGCCAGACCTGAGCCGGACATGACACACGCCCTGTATTGGCAGCTACAGTTATTATTTTTAATTTCATTTCAAGCTGTCACTAAAGGCTCTTCAAACCTAGACATTAGCCAACACCCCTCTCTGGTCAGGTGCCCCCCCACATGACACACTGGAGTGGAGAGAAGGGAGCGACAGGGGTAGGTGCCTGCCCACCCCTGCCCTCCCTCAAGGACACCTCCAGAATTAGCCTCTCTTCCTTCCTTATCTGCACAGTAACTCAGGTCAGACAGCCAAGTGTGGAGGTGACAGCCTCACCCCGGGGTCAGGGCAAGGAGCCCCACGAGGGAGAAGGGAGTAGATGGAATCCTGTCACCCGGAGAGCTGCCAGAAGAACAAGACAGACGCCAAACTGACCCCCAACACTACCGACTATGTCACCTCTAAGCCTCAGTTTACCCCTTCCCTTATGCAATGCGTAAATGCCAGGGCATGCAAGCCTCCCAGAATCCAGCCCCCCGTTCTGGAATTCTGCCCTAGACTCTAGAATGACTTCTGCAAACCCCAGATAGTTCACAACACCTGCATGGGGCAACTAGAGGCCTGCTGCCTCCCGCCTCCGTCAGGGGGCGCCCTGGGGCGGATGTTCCTCCTCTGGTTAGGCAGGTCTGACGCCCCGGTTAATGACACGTTGGGGTTCGCTCAGAGGCACAGAGTTGGTTGGAGCTGCCCCGGTTTTCTCACCCCCTGCCCCCACCCCGAAGCCGGAAAGTGGGGGAAGCGCCGAGACATAGCCTGCGGAGGGACCCAGGGTACTGTTCCGCTCCTTTCCAGCGACCCACGTTCCACTATCCCCGCCCACTTCGGGTTGTGCTGAGACTCAGCCCAGAAGGCAGCTGGAGGGCGTAAGGGGTGACCACCCATTCCACAGCCCCACCATTCCAACCTCCTATTTCTGCCTAAGAGTCAGGCATCTGAGACCCCAGTATCACCCAAGGGCTCAGACTTCCCAGAGTTCCCCATTTGAGGAACTCAGGAGCCCCAGCTCCAATGTCTCCCCAAGACCAAAGTGTCTCAGTCCTCTATTCCAAGAACTCAGGCATCCGAGCCCCCTGTCCTCCTGCCCAGTAAATCAGACAACCGAGTTTTCTCTTTCCAGGGGACCCAGACGTCTGCGCACCCCACATTCTGCCCCGGGACCCGGCGTCCGAGTCCCCTCCCAGTCCTCCAGGGGCGCTGTGTCGGGCTCCTTCAGGGCCGCTGGACCCCAGGGGGGCGGAACTCACAGGTCCGAGGCAGGTCCTGGCGCGGGGGGCTTCCTCCCGCTCCGGCTCCAGCTGCGGGGAGCGGAGGACGGGGCGGGGCTGGCGCCGGGAACAGGTTAGACGACGTGACTCGGGCTGGAGGGAGGTGGGTCCCGCGGGGGGAGGGGAACCGAAGTCACCTCGAGCACTTTGGGACTTGTAGTCCCGGAGGGCAGGACGCAGACCGAGACTTTCCCTTTGGGATTCACCTGGAGTCCATTTCAAAGACAGGAAGAGGGCGGCCTCGAATCCGTGGGCGACTGGTCTGCAACATGCAGAAACCTGAGCCTCCCACTTCATTGTAGTTACAGAAGACGGACTCCTGAGCCCTTCCCCAACCCTCATGGCTCAGTTTCCCCTTTAGAGAGTCAAGATTTGGACGCCACCAAAGGCGTGGAAGACTGGAGGCTGAGGGGATGGGACTCGGATGCCTCCTTCTGGGGCGAGAAGAGCGCCCCTCTAAATCAGTGTCCTCTTGGGCTCTGAGCCTCAATCTCCCCGTTGGTAAAAACGGGGACTGGATCTACACGGGATTCTCCAGCCAGAGCCGAAAGTCGGGGCTGGGCTGGACTACAACTCCCAGCAGCACGCGCGACCGATGCCCGGGGCCCCGCCCCTCGAGTCCTCTGGGAATCGTAGTCTCGGAGCCGGGAAGGGCGGCTCCTTAGAGTCCCTTGCCCACTCCCAGGGAACTGTCTGGAGATCACTGGCGGAGAGAACACTTTCCCTTCCCCAGACTCCCCTCTCTGCTCTGGGAAGCCGCAGGAGAAGGGGTGCACCCCAATTCTGAAGTAGAATCGGAAACCTCGGCAGAGGGGGCAGGAAGCGGTGCTGACACACGGGCCAGGAATGCAGTCGGGTCACCATGTCTAGCCGCGGTCCCTCGGCTCCACCCGCTGCCCCACGCGGTGAAGTCCTAGTAGCAAGGACCATGGGCGCCTCCCCCAAATCCGCGTCTAAATGCCGGTGTTTCCACGCCCTTGGGACAGGCTAGGGTCGGGGATCAGGACTCCTACCCCCTCTCTGTTCCTCAAAACCATAGGGAATATTTCTCAAACTCAAGACTAAATCCTCGAGGGCATCTACAGGTTGCTTTCGATCCACAAACCACGCCCCTTAGCCGTCACAGCTGAGTGCAAGTTTGACTCCCGGGTCCGAGGTACCTCCCTAGACTCACAGGCTCCTCCCCCTATGTTTCCCGCTCCCCCAGAATCCAGAAGCCCCGCCCCTGGCTGATACTTATAGCCCTCTGGAGTGATTGCCCCCTTTCTTCCATTTTCCGTCCTTTTCCACTCAGGTCCTAAACTTCCGAGGAATCTTGACTCCCCCAGAAGGGATTTCAACGCTGAAGACAGAGCCCTGCCAACGAGGATCGTTACCTACCTTTTTACGAATTTCAGCCCAATCGATCTTTCTGTCTCTTTAAGAGTTAGGACCTACGCGTGTGACTGCCCCTTTAAGGCGGTGTTGGAACAAATCATACCGGAGTTACTGTAGGGGAGACCTACAGAGACTTAATGTGGCCCTCACTCCAGAGACACAGTGAATACGCTTCTTTCTGGAGCAAATGTTTGGAGAAAGAACATTTCTTTCACTGTCTACTCTGCACGGCGGGAATCTTTTCCCGTTTTCCCCAATAACGCCAACAGGCGCCGAGCGGCGACCCCGCAGTTGCACGACACTTGGGCACTTCCGGACGGTGCCCCGCCCCTCGGATCCACGTGGTCGGCCGCGGGCTCGCGCAGCTCCGGGTTGGACTGGCTGCGGGATGGAGGGGACCCAGTCTGGCGGTGAGCGGGCGTGTGGATGGGGTGGAGTGGGGACTGTGCAGAGAAAGGGGTGCCGGAAAGTCCTAGTGAAAAAAGGGGCATCACCAGACTGGGCCAGCGGGGAGATCTCATTTCCAAGGTGAAGGGAGTTTGCAGCGCGAGCTGGTGTCTTGGGGGGATTACTGGTGGAGAGGAAGGGCACCCCCGGGCTGGAGACAGGCGGCGACCCGGGGAGGAAACGCGCTGCTTAAGAGGTCGGGACCGATGGGCGGACCCCGCTCTTCAGGGTGGAGCGTGTCAACAGACCCCGCTTCCTCTTCTCCCGCAGGTGCTGTTCGGTTCTCTTGTCCCCCCAACTTTACCGCGATCCGCTCAGCCTCAGAGCCCTCTCGTCTCTCCCTAGAGATGCTGACAGGCCCGGATACAGAGCTGTGGCTGATCCAGGCCCCTGCAGACTTTGCCCCAGACTGGTGAGTGGTCCCACTCCCCTCCCTGCTCCAGAGGCTGAACTTGGGAGTTTTGAGGGCACATTTCCGAGCACCCCAACATGCTGCTTTCTCCCCTTGTCTTACCCAAAGGGTCTGACCAAGTCTCTCCCCTCCCCTTTTTCTCTCAGCCTCAATGGGCGACTGGTGCCCCTCTCCGGCTCCCACATCGTGAAGGGCAAGTTGGCAGGGAAGCGGCACCGCTATCAGGTCCTCGGCAGTAGTGACCCTGAGACCGGAGAAGCCACCCTGCTGGCTCCCTCAGCACAGTCGGGAGGTGGACTCAGCTGTGCCCCTGCCCCCCAGGGCAGCCTAAGGATCATTGAGGGTCCCCAAAGACCACTGTCAGGGGTTCCTCTGCAGCCCATTCCAACAAGCCCCCCACCACAGATTCCCCCTGGCCTGAGGCCTCGTTTCTGTGCCTTTGGAGGCAGCCCACCGGTCACAGGGCTTGGGTCACCTGTGGCACCAAAGTCACCCTCCTTGGAGAAGAGGAAAAAGAGGCAGATGCCAGAGAGTTCCACCACTCAGGAGGCAGTGAATGGGTATGGAGCCTCGGAGGTAGAGACAGAAATGGATGTGGGGAAGAAGAAAAAGAAGAAAAAGCACCAGCTGGAAGAACCGGGGGTAATGGAGCCTATGGTGATGGAGCCCAAGACAGAGGTGTCGGAGCCTCTGGGTGCTCTGTTCCCACTCACCTCCAAGAAGCGGAAGAGGCAGCCCAAAGGGGCAGAAACAGTGGAGCCAACGGAGAAGAGAGAGGAGCTAGAATCTGTAGTAACACCTGAATCTCCTGAAGAGACGATCCTCTCCCCGACCAAGAAGAGAAAGAGGCAGAAGGAGGCAGAAGGGATGGAGCCATCGGAGGGGGTGACAGTGGGGTCCCAGCCACAGGGGAAGGAGGAGCTGCAGGAGGAAGCCATCCCACTGCCCCCAGGGAAGAAGAAGAAGAAGAAAAAAGAAAACAGGCCAGAGGTGACCATGGAGCCAGGGACTGAGGCTGTTGAGCCTGAGGTGAGACCTCTGGCACCCTGTGGGCAAATAATAGAGCCAGAACTGCCAGAGGAAGTTGTTGAGCCTCAGGCCGAGGCAGCTCTGGTGTCCACCAAGAAGAGGAAGAAGAAAGAAAAGTGGCAACATATGATGCTGGAGCCAGAGCCGGAGGGGGTGGAGTCTGAGCTGCCAGGTGACCTGGAACCTCAGGCAGCTCTAGCGTCCACCAAGAAGAAGGACAGGGGGCACAAAGCGGGGGAGCCCAGGACCAAGACGAGCAAGCCACCGAGGGAGGTGGCGGAGCCTGAGCTGCCAGGTGAGGGGGAGCCCCATGCCAAGGCAGCTCTGGGATCCACCATGAAGAAGAAAAGGAAGTGGGGTCAGGAAAACCGGGTGCCAGACACCGCACCCCTAGCAGAGATACCCGAACTGTCACTGAATTTGGAGTCTGGGGAGGTGGATCCCACAGAAAGAAAGAAGCAGAAGAGGAAGCCACCGGCCGATCCTGTATAGCCTCACCAGGGACACTGAGGAGCTAAAAAAGGCTGAAGGTGGCCACCTGGGGCATTGGAAGGTGACACAGAAGCCGACACCTCCCCCACACTCACCCTCCAGCCCCAGCCAGCGACTGCACCAGCACTCAGCCAGAACCTGGCCCTGGACAATGCTTTATTGTCACACCAGCATCTGGGGTCATCAGGGCACCTTGAGAAAGGGCTCATGCAGGACGTCAAACAGCCTCCGGGCCTTGGGTGGGAAGAAAAGAACCAGTCATTAAACAGCCCTTGGTTGGCTATATCTAGAGTGGGGTTCTGGCTGTTTTTTCCCAGCTTAGATGGGGGCTCCAGGGGTGAGGTGAGAAGTAGCTGACCTGGATTCTATCCCAGACTGTTCCTACCACCCTCGTAGGCCTCAGTTTCCCCATCTATAGGAGGAGCAGATGGTAACTGGGGCTTCTGAAACCTTAAAACCTTGGGATCTGAGGTCCTGTTGGTATCGAAGTCACCCCTGTCCCCAACCCCTCAAGCCCATTCCTAGAGGGCGGTTTACCTTCTGGGGGCCCAGGCCAGGGCATAAGGCCAGATCTTCCCGTGATGCTGCCATGAGCTGTTCCAGAGACTGGGGGGGGGCGGGGGGGCAGAAGCGAGAGGTCAAGAGTGGGGAGCATAGAGCCCCACCCTGTCCCAGCTGTCGAGGGCCCCCAAGGTACCCCTGGGAAGAGGCACAGGCCTGGGGGAGCAGGTGGCAGAGAGGTGAATGGACATGGGTGAGGGCTGCCTGGGAGAGGAGGGAGAGAAGCTTGTCAGGACCTTACCCCAAAAGTGGACAGGAGGGTCTGACTGTCTGTCTTGTTGACTGACTTCACGGAGCTCAGACATTCAGTGACCTGGATGGGGAAGAGACAGCACAGTGGGAGACCAGCAACCCTGAGCCTATGAGGGCAGCGCAGGTTCAAGGCATGCACGAGGTGCTCAGTAAATGCTTTTGTATTGGGACTCGTTAAAGGTCACATCAGAGTGATCCCCAAATAGGTGAGGGGGTCGATCCAGGAAGGAGATGAACTAGGAGCAGGCTCCGCCTCGGGGGACACCGGAAGTGAAGGCGGCCCAGGGTCAGAACTAGCCTGCTGCCTGTACCCCGTCGTAATGCCAGGGCAGGGAGCCACCTCTTTGGCCTCATTCTTAGGCAAATGGGGATCCCAGTAGCACCCTAGTATATAAGGGTGACCGTGGGTGTCGCTGGCCAGCACTAAGGCCGCCACGAGGCTCACATTTCTGGATGATGACCTGGGTGTTGGCTGCCTGAATTCAGATCCCAGCCCTGCTGGCACCTTCCCCAGGTGACTGAACACTAGGAACCTGTGTGCCCAGCTTGAAGGAAGGCGGAGCAGCAGGCAGGGTCTCCCACTGGAACCCAGAATCACCCACTCACTCAGCAAGCACCCCAAGTGCCCAGTGAGTGCCGAGTGGTGCTGGGGACACCACAGGGATCCAGGCAGCTGTGTTCTCCTGGGGCTCCCAGTCCAGTGAGGCAGAGAAATCAGTTCCAGTCAGTAATGACGGACGGGGGGAGCCCGGCAGCAACACTGCCTGGCCTGGGGGTCAGGAGGACTTCCTGGAGGAAGGGGCACCACAGCTGGGCTGGGAAGAGGGGTCCTGGTCAGAGAGGACCTGGCTCCAGATCACACCTGAAGCTCAAGCAGCAGGAGCTGCAGGGAGGCCCAGGCAGGGACAGGAGGTTCAGGGCGGTGGACTCACCCGGGACACGAAGTTGTGCTCCAGCTTCTCCATCAGGAGGTCCGCTGGCTTCTGCTCGTAGGCCTTGTAGGTCTCCAGGTACCGCCCGGCCTCCTCGGGACTGGGGGACAGGACATGGTCAGCCAGTTGGGGACTGCCATGTCACAGATTCACTTCCTGGTGGTCGTGATGCTGAGGCCAGCAACCCCGGGCTCCAACACGGGGACGTGGAAGTTCTTGGGGTTTCTGGTTCAGGCCCCAACCCAGTTCCCCCTGGGTGACCTGGGGCCAGTGATTGGATCTCTGTGGGCCTCAGTTTCCTTATCTGAAAAGTGGGCAGTGGTAGAACTGTGAAGATTAAATGGGGCCAGGCGTGGTGGTGGCGCCTATAATCCCAGCACTTGGGATGCTGAGGCAGGAGAATCCCCACAAGTTGGAGGCCAGCCTGGATGACATAACAAGACCCTGTCTTGAAACAAACTGAATGGGTCAGTGCTGCCAGTACCAGAACCCGGGGCTCAGCAGCCTGTCTAGGAAATGCTGGCTATCTCGGAAGGGACATCTGGGCTCTTGGTCCCAGCACCTGCGCTGCATTTGAGAGAGAAGAAAACCAGAACACTTCTCATTTTTCAGACTGCACCAGGAAGACAACCTCCTGAGACACCCAGCTGCCCACCAGTGAGAAAAGTGGAACTTTTCTGAGGTTGGTTTTTTTTTTTTGGTACCGGGGATGGAACTCGGGTCCTGGTACTTGCACAGCAGGCGGCAAAACCCCTGAGCTAAATACCCAGCCCTTCTGAGGTTTTGTTTTGGTTTTTTGAGACAGGGTCTTACTGTGTAACCCAGGCTGGCTTCCAACTCCCTGTGATTGTCCTGCCTCAGCCTCCCGAGTGCTGGGATTACAGGTGTGTGCCACCATGCCTGGCAAGTTTGTTTATTTTAAATAGAGTCTCACTGTGTTTCCCAGTTTGGTCTCAAAAAACTACTTGGGCTCTGCGTGGATCCCCAGTACCAAAAAAAAAAAAAACTACTTGGGCTGGAGATGTAGCTCAGTGGTGCTGTGCCTTCCTGGCAAGCGCATGGTCCTAAGTTCGATCCCTGGTACTGGAAAAAAATAAATTACACTCAAGCACTTTTCCTGCCCCAGCCTCCTCAGTAGTTGGGACCAAAGGCATGTGCCAGCATTCCCAGCTAAAATCTTTGTTATACAACAAGTATTTCTTCTTAGTTTTTTGAGACAGGGTCTCGCTATGTAGTTCAGGCTGGCCTTGAACTCACTGTGTAGCCCAGGCTGGTCTTGAACTTGCAGCCATCCTCCTGCCTTGGCCTCCCCAGTGCTGGGATCACAGACTTACATGTCACACCTGGCTCACCTGGTGGTGTGCATGAGACCATACAAGAGAGTAAGGCCCTGTGTATCAGATGAGGACCCTGGGGCCAGGAGACAGCAGGGCTCACGAAGGAGTTCCTGGGTGGAGACAGGGGTGGGGTGTGTGGGGGTACAGGTTGTGACAGAGCCGTAGCTGGAAGGAGGAGCCCTACTCTCACCTCCATGCAAGGATCAGTGTGCAATCAGCCAGGATGCACATCTTAGCCAGCTCCTTGAGGGCCTGCTGAGGGTCTTTCTGGAGAAGAAGGAAATCAGAATTAGTCGGGGGAGAGGGCAGGGTCACAGAGTTTGAAAACACCATAGTTTAGGATGCCAGGAACCTTTCACTCGGGGACACCCCCTAACCTCCCCCAGTGTCCCCAGCCTGTATGGGGCAGGGTCAGGACCCCACATTGACCCAGATGGCCCTGGCTCTGCCCTCCTGGGCTCAGTCTGATGAGGGGGATGCTCCCACCCCCAGACAGTGATGATGGAGGAGCCAGGCTGCCGTGGGGAGCCTGAGGGGTGCCAGAGCCTTCTGGGGGACTCAGGGAGGGCTTCCTGGATGAGGGGACATCTGAGCTGAGATCTGGAGGATGAGCAGAGAGAAGGGAGCAGAAAACAGAACGGGATTCCAGACACACATGCGTGCACAGGCTGAGAGGGGAAGGCGGGCTTGGAGAGGTGCGTCTCCCAGTGTGGGGTGTAACCATGGGGCTGGAGGGCTGGGTGGCAGTCAGATCACACAGGACCCCAGGCTGTGCAGGGAGGAGAACTGACTCCAAGGGTACTGGGGAGCCCTGGAAGGGTTTTGAGCGGGGGAGGCTGACAACAGATCTATGCTTCAGAAAGACCCCTGTGGCTGCTGGATGGACAGGAGGTCCAATGGAGGCTACATGACCAGGAAGGAAGCTGGTCCTGGGAGTAGTGGAGGGGCCAGGGATTAGGGCAGGAGCTCTGGGGATAGAGGCTGAAACCAACTTTAAGAGCTACTTAGGTGGCAGCAGCGGGGCCTGTTTGAAGCGGGTATAGAGGAGACGCTGTTACCATCCCACCTCCCTGCCAACACTGGGTCCCACGGTGACCTGTGTCAATCTCAGATGTGAAATTGGTTCCTTGCCAAGGTTTTAACATCCACTTCCTGAAAGGGACGCAACACCACCCATTTCCCAGGTGGGAAGAGTGAGGAGCGGCCACTTACCACATCCACCTGGACCAGCAGAACGCGCAGGGCGAAGTTCTTCCCCAGGCTCTGCAGCCGCTCGTGGATGTAGTCGGGGTGCAGGTTGTGGTAGCGGAGGCTGCGGGGAGGGGAGAATAGGGTGGGATCTCAGTGTCCCAGAGGCGCCAGCAGCCTCCAGCCACTGCAGGGTGGAGCCCCTGGTCGCCACAGTTGAGTGCAGCACAGGGGACAGCCTCACCAGGTCTGAATCCCTAGAAGGCCAAGCTGCTCACTCAAGGGCACCTTAAAGCAAGGGCAGAGTGGCAATGCAGCCTGGCTCTGGTGTCCTAGGGTCCTGAGGCTCTGGTTTCCTCTCTAAGGATGGAGGAGTCTGAGGCTTCAGGGGGGTGCAGGACTGGGGCCTTAGGGTGTGGTCGGGACAGGGAGGCCGCACAGCTGGCCATCCCAGCCTCAAGGTGCTGGCAGAGGAGCCGGGAGTGTGTATGCAGGTGAGAGAAATCCTGCTCTTGTTGACTCCTCAATAATGTCCGGGATATTCCACTCACCTCTGTCAGGCCACAGAATCCAGCCCTCTTGCCTGAGATCGAGGGCTCCAGGCCCAGCCTCCTCCCTCACACCTGGGGGTCCAGGCCCAGCCTCCTCCCTCACACCCGGGGGTCCAGGCCCCAGATCCTTGTGCTCTGGGCACCTCCAGGCCAAGCTCTTTTCCAACACAGCCACAGGAAGGGCCAGCACCAGCCTGGTCAAGCTCAGAGGTCCCCCTGGCAGGCTCAGGAGGCAGGACCATGACCTCAGGCCTGGTCACACTTCCTGAAGGTGGCAGCCTGAGCTCACCTGAGGAAGAGGGCACAGGTGCTCTGGCCCAGCACGTAGTCAGGGATCACTTCACCAAACTCCCAGGGCACGTTGCGCACAAACTTCAGCACAGGGTTGCCCCTCTAGGGAAGGAGGAAGGGTAGCAACCATCCTCAGGGACGACCCTTGGCTTGTGGCGGCGAGCACAACCCACTTCCTCTGGGGGTTGTACTCTCACCCTCTCACCCTCCACCCACCTGGCCTCTGGCCTTCTCCAGCTTCTCTCCTCCTCAGATGGAAACCGCCTCCTTCACATTCCTCATCAACGTCTCTTCCTCTCCCAATCACAGCCCCTGCCCAGGCCTCCAGCCACCTCCTCCTGGCCTCCTGCCCCAGTGTTGTCCCCTCCTGACCACTGTAGGAGGGGCAGCCAGAGGGATCTTCCTGAAGCACAATCCTGCCCTCCCCCAGCTCTAGGCCCTGCAGTGGCTCCCTAGTTCCCTCAGGAGGAAACCCACGCTCTTCCTTGCAGCCTGTGACCTGCATGGGCCGGTGTCAGCTCAGCAGTCCCTTCTCTCTGAATTCCCCTCATGTTCTGTCTTGAACTTGCTCTGTATTTAGCCCAAGTCCAGAATTCTTTGAGCAAGTCAAGTTGTAATCCACCCAGTGAGGATTTATAGTGTACCTACTGTGTGTCTCAGTGTGGGGGGTACAGTGACCAGGATGGTCCGAGATCCCTACCCTCCTGTGCTACTGTGACAAAGTAAGAAATATAAATATGGTCTCTGCCCCTGATTCCTGACCCTGAAACCCCTAGAGGCAGGGACATAGGGAGAATCTCTTGTTCTAATGTTTGGTCTGGGAGCACATTCCTGACGCACAGCTCCTAAGGCCTTTGGAATCCCGGGCAAAGGGGCATCTCCTGTTCTCATGAGGCTACCCTTGGTGGCTTCCAAAAGGCCTCAGAATGAGGCTGGTGGGCAGGGAACAACCAAGGGACAGGACAAGAGGGCCAAAGGTTAAACTCCTCACTAGTGGCCAATGATGTAATCAGTCTTGCCATGTAATGAAGCCTCCATAAAAAGCCAAGGGGCCAGGCCGTTTTTTCTAAGAAAATCTGCTCTTCCAGGGCTTCTGCCTGTTTTTTAGGAGAAACTACTTCTGATATTTGTTTACTAAAAAGGTACCTGTTTTACCAGAGTCAAATTAAGTTGCTAAATTGTCCAGGCTGGACTTTAACTTGTGATCCTCCTGCCTCGCAGAGTGACTGAATTACAGGCCTGTGCTACAGGACCAGTAAAACATCAGAATGTACAAACGTGTGCAGGATGACAATCCAACGATGCATCTGCTAAGGAGAATGTGGGAGAAGTTGAGAACCTACGAATACTTCCTTGTGTCTGCCTGGGACTCATAGCTATAATTGTGGGAATGGTTCTCGCTGTACAATCCCACTCTCAGCCTGTGGGTTTTGCTGTTGCAATGACACTGTTAAGTGTCAGTGCATTTTCACTCATCATCACCAGTTGGCTGGTTTGGTGTACAACCGAGGAGAGGATGCACAGAAGCCTGGACACAGGCCAGCAGGGAGGGACTGACTTGGAGAGTGTTGGACAGTACTCTTTGGAGACAGCGATCACCTCCCTGTGACTCTGTGATGAACTATGATATGGGGACCCTCCTGGCATATTGAAGCATTTTAAGTATTGTCTTTAAGTTCTAATAAAATTCGCCTTTTGAAAAAAAAAAAGCCAGGGGTCCAGTTGAGCACATGGAGGCTCCTGGGCGTGTTATCACCGTTCAGAGGGCAGGGAAGCTTTGCGCCAGCCCCATGGGTGACTTCATCAGGCTGCTCATCCACATCCTTTATTTTAGCCTTTATTTATGTATTTATTTTTTGTGGTACTGGGGATTGAATCCAAGGCCTTCACACTGAGCTACATCTCCAGCCCTTTATAATTTTTAATTTTGAGTCAGTGTCTCTCCAAGTCACTAAGTGGCCGAGGCTGAGTTTGAACTCACAATCCTTCCGCCTTAGCTGGAATTACAGATAAGCGCCATCACACCTGTCTTCTATTCTTTATTAATAACCCTGTAAATGGAAGTGTTTCTGAGTTCTATGAGCCACTCTGGTAAATTAATCCAATCTGCAGAGGAGGTCCTGGGAACCCCCATTTATATCCGAGGGCAGATGGAGGCAGACTTGGCAACTGAGTCCTCCCCAGTGGGATCTGATGCTGTCCAAGGAGACGGGGCCGAGCTGCGCTGAGCCAGAGGACACCCAGCTGGTGTCGCTGCCAAGCTGTGTGGCGTGGGGAGAACTACTGCTTGGGAGTTGAATGCTATGGGAGCACACAAAGGAAGAGCAAGCTGTTTTGGTGTGGGGTGCTGCGTATAGAACTCAGGGCTTTGCCCATGCTAGGCAAGTGCTCTAGCCTCCGCCTTTTCTTTTTTTATTCTAAGACAGGGTATCACTAAGTTGCCCAGGCTGGTTTGAACTTGAAATCCTCCTGCTTCAGCCTCCCATAGGGATGTGATTACAGGCATGCACCACCTTGCCTGGCTGCCCTTTTTATTTGGTGACAGAATCTTGCTAAGTTGCCCAGGGTGGCCTTGAACTTTTGGTCCTCCTACCTCAGCCTCCCAAGTAGCTGGGATTACAGGTGTGCACCACTGTGCGTGGATCCAACTTCCATTTTTAAAGATTCTGTCCACTTCACTTACTAGAATGACAAAAATAAAAAAGACAAACAATGGCCAGATGGAGTGCCACACATCTGTGATTACACCTACCCAGGAGGCTGAGGCAGTAGGATCACAATTTCAAGGCTATGGACAACTTGACAAGATCCTGTCTCAAAACAGAGAAGGGCTAGGCATGTAGCTCAGTGTCAGAGCACTTGCCCAGCATCTGTGAGGCCCCAGGCTCCCTCCCTAGTGCCAGAATAAATAAAGAATTTTTAAAAAGTGGCAGAGATGGCTTAAGTCATTTGCCCAAGATCACACAGCTATGGCACAGCAGAGCAGGGATTCAAATTCAGGGTCATGTTCATTTTACATTTTTACTGAATGAACAAACCTGGGGACAGGAAAGGGCTGCACAAAAACAGTCACAGCCCCTACAAAAAGAGCTGGGGCACCCTTGACACATGCAGAGCCATTAAATGAATGAATGCATGTATCCTGGGTGAATGAGTGAAAGGCACTGCTAAGAACCAAGTGGCTAAGCTCAGACCTGCCCTGCCCACAGTCATCCCCATAACAGGGCCCCCACCGGAAACTTCAAGGCTGCACTTCCAACTCCCTCCTCACCTGCCGGGGGCTCACGATGATGCTGTTGGATTTGGCCCCTGGTTTCAGGGCCTGGTTGGGGGTCTCTCCTGCCAAGGAATCTGACCCCGTGGGGCATGTGGCTGCCGCCCCTCCTGCAGGCTGGGAAATAGCGTACTCAGCATAGGTCTGCTGGGCGCCCTGGGCTGAGGTCTCCATGGTGGGAAGGTTTCCCGTGGATTTGAATAAGGGCTTGGCCTGTGAGGAGAAAAGAGGTTTTACATGTCTGGAGAGGGAACATGTGTGCTCCAGTGTGTCCCTCTCCGAAGCTGGTCCAACCTCCTTCCTCCCAATGTGCTTTCTTTCCTGAGGCCTTACCCTAAAACCTAGGACCTCAAAATATGAATCCAAGCTGGAAGTGGTAGCCTATACCAGTAATCTTCCAGGTATTCAGGAGCCTGAGGCAGGAGGATTACAAGTTAGAAGCCGGCCTAGGCAATTAACAAGACCCTGTCTTTTACAAATCACTCTAGAGGGCCAGGGATTTAGCTCAGTAGTTCCGCCGACTGCCTTGAAAGTGCAAGGTCCTGAGTTTGATTCCCAGAACAACAAAAAAAAGTCACCCTGGTTCCATCCACCATTGTCTTTCCCTTGAAAGTCCCCTGTTTATCTCACAACTATGTTCTTTAAATCATCATGTCCCTCCTCTGCCCAGGGGCTGTGAGTGGCTCCTGCCTCAGAGTAAAAGCCAAAGCTGTCACATACATAGCCCACAAGACTTCAGATCTGCACTGCCTCTTAGCTAAGGGACCACATCTACCACTCCTCCCTTGCTTTCTCTACACCAGCTTTATCTTTGTCCTCAAACCTGGCAGGCTCCCTCTGACCTCTGGGCCCTTGCACTGGCCATTCTAGCTCCTCCCAAATGTCTGTACTGCCCACTCCCTCACCTCTTTTGTGGCCCTGCCAAGAGGTCACCTTCTTCCTATCTCAGGTGCTCCTCCCGAGCACACCCTATATCCTTCACCCCTTTCTTTCCCTACATAAACATATAGGTCTTCAATACTCTGGACCACCTGTGGCAAGATTTCAGTGGGAAGATTTCAGTGTTGTGAGAACCCTCAATTTACCAAAAGATGCCAAAGCACAGCTTTTTTTTAAATTGCAAAATCTTCCAATGCTTAAACGTCAGCCACACATGGAAAATCCAAGGTGCTGGCACTGTAAGACACACAGCAAGACTCTGCCTCCAAATTAAAAATTAAAAAGGACTGGGGATGTAGCTCAATAGAAGTTCAATCCCCAGTACCTTAAAAAAGAAAGAAAAACACTTGGCCCTCTCTTAGAACCACCCAATTTTTGTTTGTTCTTTTGTTTGTTCGGTTAGGTTTGGTTTTTTGAGACAAGGTTTTCCCTATGTAGCCTAGACTGGCCTTAAACTTGTGGTGATCCTCCTGCCTCTGCCTCCCAAGTGCTGGGCGCTACCATGCCCGGCACCACCCTGTCATTTTACAGATGGGGAAATTGAGACCTGTAAAGGACAAAGGACTGTTTTCCCAAGACGACTCTGGGCCCCAAGTCTCCTAGTCCAACTGTGCTCCAAAGGCCATTTTTTTGTTTCCCCTTCCTTCCATCACCATCCCCAGCCTCTCAACGGTCCCCGGTCCCCGAACGCTTCGTCCTACCCCCGGAGGAGGCACTTCATCCTCGTCCAACGGGATGACAAACTTCTTCCTCGAGGGCGGCCCTGCAGGCTGCGGCGCCCCCTCCTCGTCCTTCTCAGGGTCCATCTGGGGCCTGAGAAGGAAGACGTGGAGGCAGGTGCCAGTGAGGCATCAGCATCTGCATCCTGTTCTCCCAGCAGGAACCCCCACTCACAGCCATCCCCCCAGTAAAATTCCAGCGCTCCGAGTCATGAAAAACCCCAACCTGCAACCGAGGTCCACGGTTCCTAAATCCCCGCCCACCTTGGGCTTGCCCCGCCCCCCGCGGGCCCTCGTTCTATTCGCTCCGCCCCCGCTATCCCCGCCGATGCTGGTTCGGCCTCCAGACCTTGCACCTGGACGCCCTCCCGCACTGGGTCACTGACGTCTCTCAGACACTACAGTGATTGGCCTGCGCGGCTGCCAATCACTACCCGTGGTCTGCACCTCCTACCTCTCTATCCCGTACCTCTGGGTTTCAGCACTGCAGAGAACTCACCTGCTCGACCCCAGACCTGGGGGAGGAAATGCGGGGTGATCGAGGCGTTCCACCGCCAGCGCGGGCAGCGCGGCCCCCAGCTCGTCGCACTTCCGGCCTCTCTGGCCCTCAGCCTCCCTCACTGCTCCCTACGGGGTAGAGCATAGAGAGGGGCTGGCCCTGCGCTGCTCTCTATGGTTATGGAGGACTGTGGAGGTTGGGGGAAGAAAGAGGCGTGGGTCTATGGGCTCGAGAGTCTGAGGTGCCAAGCGATTCTGTTGCAGTGCCCTCTTGAGCGCCTTCAGTGTTCCCCAGCTCCAGACAGGGCTCACTGGAGAAGAGGCGGCGGAAGATAAAACTAACTCCCCACTCACAGTACGTAGAGAATTGAGTTTGACTACCAAGTCTTCCATTGACTTGGCCTCAGTTTCCCCACTCATTCATTTATCTCACACAGTCCTCCAAGCCCCTCCCGGATAACTGGTATTGTGCGGGGCGGTGGTAGTGATACTTGGGGCGTCGAGTCCAGTGGGAGAGACAGTGACGACATGACGACCCCCTTGGGCAGCGATGGGCTAGGGATCCCACAGGGCAGTGGGATGGGTGAGTGGGGGCCCCTGATCCAGCCCAGCGTCAGAAAGCGCTTCTAGGAGGAAGGGACATCGCAGCCGGGCCTGGGGATGACTTAGTATTAGTCATTTCCTGAGAGGGTAGTATCACACTGTTCCAACTCGAGGCTCTCTGATTACTGAGGAAATAGGACTTTTTTGAGTAAGGTGATTGGTCTTGTATATTTGTGTTCTATGAACTGCTTGCTCATATCCTTTGCCCATTTTAAAAATGGGTTAGATGTCTTTTTATTACGATTAATTTATAGGAGTACTTTTGGATCCCAGCTCTAATTGTTAGTCAGCTCCATATATTGAAAACATTTCCTCCTAGTTTGTACTCCTTTGCGGGGGGGGGGGGTGTCAAACTCAGGACCTTGCCCTTTGAGGCACACGGCGGCACCACTGAGCTAAATCCCTGGCCCTTTTCTTTTCTTTCTTTTTTTTCTTTTTTTTTTTGACAGGGTCTCACTATCTAGCTCAGCCTGTCATTGAACTAACTATGTAGTCCAGGCTGGCTTTGAACTTGTGGTGATTCTCCTGGCTCAGCCTTCCAAGTGCTGGGATTACAGGTGTGTGCCCCCAAACCTAGCTCTAGTTTGTACTCTGTATTTTAACTTTTTAATTTTATTTGGAAGTTGGTCTCTCTCTCTCTCTCTCTCTCTCTGTCTCTCTCTTTCTCTCTCTCCCCCTCCCTCCCCTTTTTCAGTATTCGATATTGAACCCAGATCCTTTTTTTTTTTTAAGAGTAGGAAAATTTTATTGAGAGAAAGAAAGCTTCTGTCTAAGAGAGACAGAAGGGGGACTGGAAAGTGGGTTGCCCCTGAACCCAGATCCTTTGCAATGACCTACATTCCCAGCTTTTCCACCCTACCCACCTTCCTTGCTTCCTCCCTTCCTTTCCTTCTGAGACAGGGTCTCCTTAAATTGCTAAATTGCCCAAAATGGGCTTGAACTTTCCATCCTCCTGACTCAGCTTCCCAGAGCACACACCACTACATGCAGTTCATTTAGACGTTTTAGTGTTTATTCACACTGGTTTATTAATCTATTTCCCCCTGAATTTTGCTCTTGGTGTGTTGTTTTAAGAGATCTTTCAAATTCCAAGGTCATAAGTACATATATATTTTATTGCTTTTTAAAAATACTTTCCTCCAGGTGTAGTGGCTCATACCTGTAATCTCAGCACTCAGAAGGCTGAGGCAGGAGAATTCTGTGAATTTGAGCCCAGCCTGGACTACAAAGTGAGTTCAAGTCCAGCCCCAACTACATAACAAGACCCTGTCTCAAATTACAAAAAATACAAAAAAAAATTCCCCCATTTCATACATGTACCAGTTATACTAGATTAAGGTCCACCCTAATGAGCTCATTTTAATTTATTCACTTCCATAAAGACCCTATTTCCAAATAAGATCACATACTGAAGTACTGGGGGGAGTAGGACTTGAACATATCTTTTGGGGGCCATGATTCAACTCATTCTGTTTTTTCTGCAGTGCTGGTGATTGAATTCAGGGCCTCACACATAAGTGCTCTACCACTGAGCTCTGCCCCAGCTCTCTTCTCTACTAATTTTTTGGGAGCCTGTGAATAAATAGTCATTTTCTGAGTCTTGCTCATCCAAACATTTCTCTCTCTCTCTCTCTCTCTCTGGTACTGGGGTTGGAACCCAGGGCCTCCTGCATGCTGGGCAAGCACTGTACCACTGAGCTGCACCCCAGCCCTTTTTAAAATTTTAGTTTGAGAGCCGGGCATTTAGCTCAGTGGTTCCGCTGCCTGCCTCGCAAGTGCAAGGATCCGAGTTTGATCCCAGGTACCAAAAAAAAAATTTTTTTTAATTTGAGGTGGAATCTTCACTAAATTGCCCAGGTTGACCTCAAACTTGTGGATTCTCCTGCCTCAGCCCTCCAAGTAGCTGGGATAACAAAACTATACTTTGTAGGTAATATATATATTATAAATTATATATTTATTTTAAATTATTTTCTACTGGCGATTGAACCCAGGGTCTTAGCATTGAGCTACACCTCCATCCAAGGCATGACTGTTTCTCAGGCTGGCCATGAAATTGCCAGCCTTGAACCTGCAACTCCTGCCTTTCCCGCGAGGGGGCGCCGGCAACTCTCGGGAGGATTGGGAGTTTCCGGCGGCGTTGACTGGAACCGCAACTGCCGAGGACAGGACCCCAAAAAGACAGCCGCAGGCCGTTTCCCTCTCCCACCCTTTTCCCCGCTGAGAATCTGGGGCAAAGGCCCCGCCGCGTGCGGCTAAGGTCACTGAGTCAGTTTGTATGCGTTAAAGGCAGGGGAAAAGTTGTCCTAGGTTCTAGGTTACTCTCAAGATTTTTTTTAATTGATAAATTTTATTTTATTTTATCCCATTCCCCCTTCAAGCCCCCTTCCCCCATGTACAAAAGCTTTGTTTCAAGTCTTTGTAAATAGGGAAGGGTGGAGGGGGTGGAGGGAGGGCAGGGGAATGGGAAAAAATAAGAACCAAGATATAACACGCACGGGTACAAGCACCCAATGATAAAGGTAAACGTACTGTATACCTAAAATGTACCAATAAAAGAATTTAAGCAAAAAATAAAAAATAAAAGGCATATTCTGGGGGGGGGGGAGCTCTGTTTCCATTTTTTCCTGATATTTTCTCTTTTTCTCTTGTCCCTTCCTTCCTTTCTCCGTCCGTCTCAAATTTGTTGCCTTGAACTCACTATGTAGCCCAGGCTGGTATCTAACTCGCAGCGATCCTCCTGCTTCAGCCTCCGTAGTGCTGGGTTCGCAGGCGTGTGCTACCACACCCAGCTACTCCCAACTTTATTTCCACGCTGAATTCCAGCACTGAACCTTCGATCCCCAGATCCGAGCCTCCGCGGTTCCCAGCGCTGCCCGGACCTGCCCGCCATCGACACTCGCACTCGCGCCCTGGGTCCAGACACCCCGAGTTCGCAGTCCCCTCCAAAACTCGGCCCCGCTCCCCTCCCGGACCTGCTCCTGTCCCAACGTCGGGTCCCCTCTGCGCCCCGGGATGGGGATCTCGGGGCTCCCCCGCTGAGTCCGAGAGAAGGGCTCTGGGATGGGGAGAGGGCAGAGAAGCGGGGCGCGGCCCGGGCGCGGTGACCTGCAGAGCCCCCCCCCCCCAACTTAGCCGCGTGATGCGCGGCCCGGCGATCGCTTTGGGCCGGGGACTTGGGGGACCGGGGTGGTGGGGCGGCTCCGGCCTCTATTTATAGCGCCCGGAGCCTGAAATAGAGCGGAGACCGGCGGCCGGGATGACGCGGGCGCCGCCGGGGCTGACTCACCCAGCCCGGGCCCCCGGATGGGGACAGTGCGGGCGCCCGGTCGCGACCCTACAACCCCTGGCACCTGCGCTGCGGGGACCCCAGGCTCCATGGGGCAGGCCAGTGACTCGCAGCAGAGTCTGCAGCAGGCGGATCGGAGGTGGCCGGCCACCAGCAGCGCAGGGAACGAAACAAGAAGCTTGAAGGCTGGGAAGGAAAGCAGAGGGACCAGACGTGCGCTCCTCTTGTCACCGGGGCCCCACACCAACCCGGCGGTGGCTTTGCAGAGCTGCGCGCGGGCCTGGCCCGAGAAAGCCTGTCCCCAACTTCCCAGCCAGCGGGGAATCGCGTCGCAGCGCGCCACTCCTCAGGAGAAACGCACTGCATGACTAGAGTGTTGGTAAGAACATAAAATGTCGTTTTCTGGTCTCTGAGAGCAGCTGTTTGTTCTACACAGCTGTGCCAGGCACCATTCCGGGCCTTACCTCCTTTGGGCTCCTCCCGGATAAGCTTGGAATATTTCCTCTGAGTCATCTCGTTAGAAACAAATTTGACTCTCATTCCTAGGTCACCTGGCCCTAAAGGAATTGAGTCCTCTGATCAATCGATCCATTGGTCCATCGTGTGTGCATTTGGACCCAATAGGACCCAGCCTGGGAGTGGTTCTCAAAGGACAGTCCTTGGAACCCTGGAGGGTTCCCCTGCTCTTTCATGAGGTTAACACGATCATTCCATATAGGACACGTACCTGCCTTTTTCCCACTCTTCTCTCCTGGTTATACAGTGCAGCCCAGGTGACATTGCAGCAGACAGAACCCAGATGCAGCTGTAAGGACCCAGCTGTCTTCGGTGTGGCCTGGCATGGAAGTGGCTTACACAGGTAGGGCCTGCCTGGGCTGGGCCGCAGCTCTGTGGTGGAGTGCACGCGTGGCATTTAGGAAGTCATGATGGGCTCTGTCCGAGTCCCCCCGGGATGGAAAATGATACCACATCCTCTTTTTCATGGGTTTCTTTTTTTCTTCAAAATGTGGTTACGTTTATGAAAATAGAGAATTTATTGTTAAATGAAATTATTTTTTATTCTTTTTAAGTAAATCGACAAGTTACCCTTATATTTCTGTTTTAATTTTGTTGTTGATTTTTGGTGGGGGTTGTCGTTCCTTTGTTTCACATCTTCTAGTGAGGAGGGTGGGACTCAGAGCCTCCGGTGTGCTAGGTAAGTGCACCATCAGTGAGCCGAAGCCCAGCCCTCGGATTTTCCTTCTTCAGGAGTGATCCTGAACCTAGGGTCTGCAGTACTGAGCCCCCCCGCCTTTCCTTCTCTCCCTCCTTCCTTTCTCCTCTCTCTGCCTCCCTCTCAACAGGACCCAGCTAAATAGCTATGCTTCTCCTGCCTCTGCCTCCCCCTGTACTGGAGTTATAGCCCTGAGTATATATTTATTAATCTATTTGCAGTACTAGGGATTGAGCCCCAGGCTTCTGCACTGAACTACATGCCCAGCCCCTTTTCATTTTGTGTTTTATTTTTAAAACAGGGTCCATCTAAATTGTTAAATTTCTCAGGCTGGGCTCACACTTGTGGTCTTCCTGCCTCAGCCTCCCAGAGTGCTAAGGGTTACAGCTTTGCCCCTCCGCACCAGCTCGCAGTATTAATTTCTAATATAGTAAATAATATTGCTATTCGGCCTTTTGGCTAAGAGCAAGTGTAATAGCTAATGTAGTAAATATTGATAAATATGATCAACATCAACACATTTTGAGGTCCTCAGTAATTTAAAATCATAAAGGGACCTGTCCCTAAAAAGTTTAAGAGCCAGGGGTGGTGGTGTACACCTGTGATCCCAGGATTAAGAAGGTTGAGGCAGGAGGATCCCTGTAAATTCGAGGCCAGCTTGGACTACACAGTCAATTCAAGGACAGCTTGAACCACATAGCAAGATTCTGTATCAAAACATCAAAAAATAAACAACTAAAAAGTGTAAGAATCACCCAAGCAGCTGAGCATGCTGGCACATGTGTGTAATCCCAGGATTCTGAGGGGCTGAGAGTTTGAGCCTGAACAAACCTGATAAGAGCCTTGAAGGACAGGAAGATGGGGACATTTTAAGTGGGAGTGAGGTAGAGGAGATTCTCTTTCAAAGGAGCACTGGAGACCCAAAGAATAGCTGGGAACCGTGCTGGTGAAGACAGAGGGAGGGAGAGAGAGAGAGAGAGAGAGAGAGAGAGAGAGAGAGAGAGAGAGAGAGAGATTGACTCAAGGCTTGGGAAATCAAGAATGCAAATGCCCTGGGGCAGGAAACGGCTCAGTGCTTTTCAGAAACTAAGGACTGTGCACAGGGACAGAGCAGGAGGGGAACAGTAACAATACGGGGGCCTTGATTTTGGCCCTTGAAGACTGGGCAGGTATTTGGGATTTAATTCCGAGGGAACAGTAGAGTAGCATGAGGAAGGAGGTAAGCAGGGAGTCCAGGGAAAGAGCATTGGTACCCGGGCAGGCCATGAGAAGGCAGGGAGAATGCTTAGGGGTGGGGGTTGGGGCAGGGCAGCAGCAGGAACCCCAGAGAAGGCTGGGGAACAAGGCTGAGAATTTTCCCTGAGCCCCTCAGGCTCAGAGAAACCGCTGGCACAACCCAGTGGGAGTGTTCAGTAAGCAACAGGATTCTCTGGGCTCAAAATCTGTTCCTAGTGCACCTATGAGCACTCTGCCACTGAGCCACACATCCCCAGCCCCAGATTTGACTGTGAGGTCCTCTTCCCATGGTGCCAGGCTGTCCTCAAACTTGCGATCCTCCTGCCTCAGCCTTCCCAGTCACTGGGATTACAAATATGTGCCACTGTGTCCAGCACAAATGGTATTTTCTAGTTCACTGACTCCTTTTCTTCTATTTCTAGCTGGTTAATGATACTAATGTGTGCTAATCTTCTAACGAGAAACCTGCCCAAATTCTCATCTTACAATGCTTTGTTGGTTCTCTTAGTTTTTTCTTTAAAATGACCCAAATGGCAGTTTTATTGCTTGCCTTCCGATCTTTGCACCTCATTTTTCTTGTCTTGCAGCATTCACAGACTTTTAGGACTATGTTAAGCAGTAAAGGTGATGATTCTGTTACTCCAAATCACATCCCTCTGAGACAACTCATCTCATTTTACTCATTTTATAGAGGGAGAAACTGAGGCACAGAGGGGTTAGGTTCTTTTCCAAGGCCACACAGCAGGTGAGCAACCAAATCAGCTCTCCACCCAAAGCCTGTATGTATTTGCAACCACTGCATTAAAAGAAAACTCAAAGCTGGGGATAGAGATGTATGCTTGTAATCCAAGCACTTAGGGATGCTGAGGCAGGAGAATCTGAAGGTCAAGTCCCACTTAGGCAAGTTAGTGAGGCCTTGTCTCTCAAAATGAAAAATAAACAGTCTGGGCTGAGGATTTAGCTCAGTGGCAACACACCTGCCTCCCAAGCACAAGGTCCTGAGTTCGATCCCCGGTACAAGGAAAAAAATCACCAAAAAACCCCACATCTGTACTGAACGTGGGAAAATGTCTCTTCCTTGCCATTATCCCCTCACAGCACAGTCTGGAGATGATTCAAAGTACACAGAGCAGTATTCTGCCCCTTTCAAGGGACTTGAGCACTCAAGGACTTTGGAATTTGAGGGGCATCCTGGAAGCAATCCCCAAATCTCAGATCCTGAGAACTGATTATATATTAATTTATTTAATCCTAAAACCCCTCTGGGGTCAATCTTAGTGGGACTTTTTTTCCCCAGTACTGGGGAAGGAACCCAGGGATGCTTTACCACTGAGCTGCATCCTCAGCCTTTATTTTATAGTTTAAGAAAGGGTCTCCCTTGGGGCCAGGGATTTGGCTTAGTGGTTCTGCCACTTGCCTTGCAAGCACAAAGACCGGAGTTCAATCCCTGGTACCAAAAAAAAAGAAAAAGAAAGGGTCTCCCTAAGTTACCCAGGCTCAGCTTGAATGTGAGATCCTCCTGACACAGCTTCAAGAGTAGCTGGGGTCACAGGGGTGCACCATGCCTGGGTCCACATTGGATTTTGAAGACTTTGATGATAAGTATGTTAAAGATTGTATTAATAATTGCTGATGTTAAATCCATATTGAAGGGGCCGGGGATTTAGCTCAGTGGCACCACACCTGCCTCACAAGCACAAGGTCCTGAGTTTGATCCCCAGTACCAAAAAAAAAAAAAACCTAACCCATATTGAAGTAATAGTAATTTTGGATATATCTGGTTAAATACAATACATCAACAAAATTTTTTTTTTTTTGGTACCAGGGATTGAACTCAGGACCTTCTGCTTTCGAGGCAGGCGGCAGAACCACTGAGCTAAATCCCCAGCCCCCAAAAAATTTTTTTGAGACAGGGTCTCGCTGTGTAGTTCAGGCTGCCCTTGAACTCACTATGTAGCCCAGGGTAGCCTCGAACTCAAGGCAATCCTCCTGTCTCAGCTTCCCAAGTGCTGGGATTACAGGCATGCACCAGCATACCAGGCAATCAACAAGATTATTTTTACCTCTTTCTCCTTTTCTGGTGCTCAGGATGAACCTAGTGCTAGGTAAATGCTCTGTCACTGAGTCACATTGCTAGCCCTCTTTTTATTTTTTATTTTTTAGCATAAATTCTAGAATGTTAAAAGTTCCATTTGTGATTTGTCAGCTGGGAGAGTGGTGCATAGCTATAATCCCAGCACTCTGGGAAGCTGAGGCAGGAAGATGGAAAGTTTGAGGTTGCCTGGGTAATTTAGTGATTTACAAAGATCCAGTCTCAAAATAAAAACTTAAAAAAAAAACGTTTCCTGCAAAGGCCCTGGGTTCCATCACTAGTATTTGCCTCCCCAAAAAGAAAGGTTACATTTGTGTAGACTGGTAGTGTAGAGATAGAGCACTTGCCTAGCATGCCTAAAGCCCTGGCTGGATTCCATCCGCAGTAGCACAAAAATAAAGATAGTTAGCTAGCTAGCTAGCTAACAGGTATTGTGGCACACACCTATAATCCCAGGAGCTGGGAGGCTGAGACAGGAGGATCACTGTGAGTTCAAGACCAGCCCGAACATAGTGAGACCCCATCTCAAGAGTCAAAAATAAATAAAAAAAATAAACAAAACAATTACACCTGTGAGCTAGGTCTGATGGTACACACCTGTAATCTCAGCTATTCAGTAGGCTGAGTCAGGAGAATCATGGGAGCCAGGGAATTCAGGGTTATCCTAGGAAACAAAGTGAGACTCTGTTTTAAAACAAATAAATGAAACTATCCTTATGGCCCACCTCCAATTTCTCATGGACATTGCTGGTTCACGGCATATGTGTTCTTCATTTGGGAGGACATGAGGTGCCGTGCCCACTTGTGAACCCCCACGTGCAATGTGGCATTCCGGAACAATCACCAGAGTGACTGATGCTTAGATCAAACGATGCTGTGGAGACGGGCATGGTGGTGCAGGCCTGTAATCCCAGCACTCAGGAGGCTGAGGCAGGAGGATCATTGTGAGTTCCAGGCCAGCCTGGGCTGCACAGTGAGCTCAAGGCCAGCCTGAACTACATAGTGAGACCCTGTCTCACAAACAAACATGCAAGCAAAGCTGAGCTGCACAGGCCATGTACCCAGCCAAGCCAAGCTGCCAGGAGGTCCTGAGGTCCTGGCTCTGCCCCGCCCCCCACCGTTCCTTCAGTGAGTCACTTGTCCTCTTGACCCTCAATCTCCTCTCTAGAAAATGGAAGTGTTTCTTCCTGTTCCCCTGGGTGTCAGGGAACTCAAAGGGGTGAGTAGAGTCCAACCCAGAGCCGCACCCACACAGGGGACTGGAGTTGTGGGGACCAGGTGAGGGGTACACACAACAGGTTTCCTTTTAATTTATTTTATATTTTGGAGACAGGGTCTCATCATGTAGTTCAGACTAGCCTTGAACTCACTATGTAGCCCAAGCTGGCATTGAACTCACAGTGGTCTTCCTCCCTCAGCCTCCCAAGGGCTGAGACTACAGGTGTGTGCCACTGTGCCTGGCTCTTAAACTTTTTAGAGACAGGTCTCTTTATGTTTGTTTTTTTTTGTACCAGGGATCGAACTCCTCAGGACCTTGCACTTTCGAGGCAGGCAGAGGAACCACTGAGCTAAATCCCCGGCCCTCCCTTTATGTTTTTAAAGATTACTGAGGACAGGGCTGGGGATTTAGCTCAGTGGTTCCTCTGCCTGCCTCGAAAGCACAAGGACCCGAGTTCGATCCCCAGTACCAAAAGCAAACAAACAGACAAACAAAAAGATTACTGAGGACATCTAAAAGTGTTGGTGTTGATCATATTTATCAATATTTATTATATTAGAAGTTAACATGCCTGCCTCACAAGCTCAAGGTCTTGAGTTCGATCCCCAGTACTGAAAAAATAAATAAAAGAAATTAATACTGAGAGCTGGGTGTCGAGGTGAACACCTGTGGTGGGGGACAGAGGGAATCTGTGTTCATCAGCTTCTGTCACTGTGGCCAAATGCCTGAGAAAGTCATCTTACAGGAGGAGAGGCTTATTTTGACTCACAGTTCTGGAAGGTTCAGTCCATGGTCAGTGGGCTCCACTGTTGTAGGCCTGTGGGGAAGCAGAACCATCATGGCAGAACAAAGCTGCTCACCTCCTGGCAGCTGGAAGCAGAGAGTGGGAAAGAGGCAGGGAAAGTGGTCAGGGGCCAGGTATAGTTCCCAAGGCGACACCCCTGATCCCAGTCCCTGACAGAGGCACAGGCTTCTCCATCCAGCCACTTCCCTAATGCTCATCAGCAACCAAAGCTTTGACACAATGACACACCCCACACACCATGCACCAGTATTTGGGACTGAACCCAGGGCCTTTACACTGAGCTCCATTCCCCAGCCCTTTGTATTTTTTATTCTTAGACAGAGTCTCACTATATTGCCCAGGCTGGGCTTGACCTTGTAATCTTCCTGCCTCAGTCTCCTGGGGACCGAGGCTGGGACCTGGATATCCCAGGTGCTGATAACAATGCTTCCGTTGTTGCCCGAACAGAAACACTGGGAGAAACTCGGCTCTGAGCCTCATTCCTTAACCTTCACATCAGCCCCCTTCCTTCCCGATGGTGCAGCATCATCCTGCCACTGCCCCTCACCGGGACCCCTCGGCTCACTCCGTGAGGCCCCTGATCCATGCTCTCGACCTGGCACCCAGCCTTTAGAGCTCTTCAGCTGGAACTCCGACCGGTCTCCAGACAGAACAGTGTGAGGCACACCCCGGCACACAGCTACATCTCCAGCCCCTTTTAAAAATTTATTTTCTTGAATTCTGACACAGGGTATTGCCAAGTCACTAAATTGTCCAAGTTGGGCACAAACTAGCAATCCTCTTGCCTCAGCCTCCCGGGGTGCTGGGATTACAGGTGTGCACTACCCTGCCGGGCTATAGCCCATGGTGCTTTGGTACAGCCACCTAATCAGCCTGCAGTGACTGTGCAGAGGGCTTCAGAGCCCGGGGAGCAGGCAGAGAAGGAGAAGAAAGGAAGGAAGGAAAGAAAGAAAGAAAGAAAGAAAGAAAGAAAGAAAGAAAGAAAGAAAGAAAGAAAGAAAGAAAGAAAGAAAGAAAG